AGTGGGTTTAGCATTAGGGGGTACAGAATTCTCTCGACATTCTACTTGTACCCTTCCTTGTTTCCTAGTCAATCATCCTCGCCTAAGATTCTAACAAAAGACCCATTTGCCCTCGACGAGGTTGGCGTCGGCTGGGAGGGGGACATTGACAAAGGAGTCGTTGCGAATGAATGCCTCACACTCCAGGAATATCGTCGCTATCCATTTGTCTGCGTTAGTGCAGGTGATGGCTTCGTGGAAGGTGGTGGGAGTGAAGATGGTGGAAGTGGAGGTGGCGTCAAGGACGGGAAAGCCGAGGAAGTCAAGGTAGAGGGAGGCAAGGAAAGGTGTATGTTGCCGAATGTTGAGGAACTCCTCATGGGAGTCCTCGAGGAGCTGAATGGAGGCGGGGGGAGGGGCTCCAATGAGTTTGTCTAGGGAGCGGGTGTGCATGCGAGGGAGGAGGAAAGGGGAGGAGCGGGAAGTTGCGCGTCGCTGTTGCTGCTGCTGGTGCTGCTGCTGCTGCTGCTGCTGCCCCGGCTGCTGCTGCTGCACCGGCTGCTGCTGCAGCTGCTGCCCCGACTACTGCTGCTGCTGCTACTGCTGCTGCTGCGGCGGCTGCTGCCCCTGCGGCCGAGGGGGAGAGTGAGAGGAGGAGGGAGAGGGGGGAGGGGGTGCAGCTGAATGCGCTGGAGAGGCGGGTGCGGAAGGGTCGTAGATGTCGGCAGAGGAGGAAGGTGGGAGCGGAGCGGCGACCGGTGGAAGGAGGGGTGCAGGAGGGAGGAGGGGTGGGAGGACGGTATCAGTCCAAGCCAGGGGGCGGGAGGGAGGGGGAAGAGGGTCAGGAGGAGGAGTGGAGTAGTAGCGAATGGACTCGTCGAAGACGACGTCAATGCTGCGGATGAGGCGACTGGAGGGAGGGTGGAGGAACAGGTAGCCTGGGGAATCGCGATTGTGCCCGAGGTAGACGCACTCCAGGGCACGCGAGGCGAGCTTGCCAGCAGCGCGGGAGCGATCAGCCGGAGGGATGAGGACGAACGCCTTGCAGCCCCAAACGCGAAGGCCAGCAGCGTCAGGCTTGGCCTTAGACCAAAGTTCTGTGGGGGAGGAGGAGGAATGTTGAGGGTGGGAGCGAAGATTAAGGAGGAGGGCAGTATGGAAGAGGGCATAGCTCCAGAGGGAAGGAGGGGTGGAGGCGTGAGCAAGAAGGCAACGAGCAATCTTGGTAATCTCATGAATGCGACTCTCAGCGATGCCGTTCTGCTGAGGGGAATGGGGGAGGGTGTGGGTCTGCTGAATGCCGCTGGTTTTGCAGTAAGTGGCGAGGGTATGATTGAGGAACTCACCCCCACCATCAGAGTGAAGGCGGCTGATGGGGCGTTTAAAGTGTGTGCGGCACTGCTCAGCACAGGCAATGACCACAGCCGGCACTTGATCCTTTGTGTGAAAGAAGAAGACAGTAGAGTACCGACTGTGGTCGTCAACGAGGACGAGCATGTACCGGTGCCCCTGGCGAGAGCGGATGGGATAAGGGCCCCATAGGTCCATGTGAACAAGGTCAAGGGGAGCTGCTGCGAAAGTGGGATGGCTGTGATGGGGAGACTGTTTGAGTTTGCCATGAATGCAGGATGGGCATGGGGGTGCGAGAGAGGAAGGGAGGGGAGGAAGAGTGGGGGGGAGGCTGTCGAGGAGGCGGGATGTGATGGCAGTGCGAAGCGCAGCGAAGTTTGGGTGGCCTAGTCTGTGATGCAAGAGCACAGCAGGGTGGGAGAGGTGATTAGAGGAGGAGGGGGATGGAGAGGGGGAGGAGGATGAGGGGTATGACGTAGGGGAGGAGGATACCTGGGGGGGAGGGGTAGGGGGAGGGGGAGGGGGGCCGGTGGAAGTGCCAGCACGAGTGGTGACCTGACAGAAGGAGGGACGAGGTGTGCGGAGCGTGTAAAGGCGAGTGCGAGGGCAAAGGGGAATGCGTAGGAGGAAGCGACCAGAAGCAGTGTTGTAGAGATCACAGTAAGAAGCATTACCAGGGTAAATAGCGGTAATACCAGCGCCTTGTATCTCACGGTGGGAGAGGAGGTTGTTGCGAAGGGTGGGGATGTGGAGACCTGTGACTGTACCAGATGGGAAAGCGGAGCAAGGTAGAGTGGAGAGGTGAGTGCATGGGATGGAAAAACTGGTGTCGGCACCGTGAACCTGAGTGGGAAGAGGAAGGGGAGTGAGGGTGCCAGCATCCTTCAGTGCGGTTTCTGTGGCCCCACTATCAAGGACAAAGTCCAAGGTGGGGGAGGAAGGAGGGGGAGGTGACACGGTGTACTGGAAAAGCGTCTCATTAATAGCAGAGGGATACATGGAAGCGACAGACGGTGCAACGGTAACATGACCAAGGAAACTGCCCTGGGTGTCAGAGACACTGGGGGGGGCAGAGGGGTAGCCAGAGTATGGCTGTTGCTGGAGAAGGGGTTGCTGTGGCTGGGGGGGATAAGGGAGGGGGGGGGGACCCAGGAATCCGGGTGATGCTGTGGCCCCAGGTACTGCTGCTGCATAGGCGGAAGGCCCTGCAACCCCGGGTGCATCTGCTGCAACTGCTGCTGCTGCTGCTGCTGCTGCTGCTGCTGCTGCTGCTGCTGCTGCCGCTGCTGCTGCTGCTGCTGCTGCTGCTGCTGCCGCCGCTGCTGCTGCTGCTGCTGCTGCTGCTGCTGCTGCTGCTGCTGCTGCTGCTGCTGCTGCTGCTGCTGCTGCTGCTGCTGCTGCTGCTGCTGCTGCTGCGGCTGTGGATCTGGAAGAGGGGGGAGAAAGACTTGCACCTGGTGCAGGAGGTGGGGAGGCAGGTGACTCGCCAGAGTTTGGTGGAGCTGAGAAGGTGGTGGCTGATAGGCGGGAAGTGTTCGAACGTCATGAACAGTGGGGCGAGGGGTAACAATGGCCCAGCAAGGAGGGGTACCTGTATTGCCCTGAGCAAACCACTCATCACTGAGGGCCTTGAAGCAGGTTTCAGTAGGATGGGTGGTTTGGTTGCAGCGGTGGCCCTTGTTGGGGCCCTGTCGAATGACATAGGAGCAAGGAGGGAAACCCCCTGAGCTTCCACCACGACCAGCACCCCCGTCACCTCCCGACGTCCCACCCGTAGCGCCACTGCCAGCCCCTCCACCTCGACCACCACTGCCCCCGCCACTCCCTCCACCACGACCCTTGCCACCACGCCCCCCACGCCCTCCGCGTCCCTGTGTGAAGTTGAGGGTGGAGGGGGACTGGCGGGTAAGTTTGGCTTCTGTATCAAGGACCCAGGTGGTGACTTCGGCAGCCGTGGCGTGGGGTGAGAGAACAATGTCGTAGGCGATGCGGTGCATCTCATAAGCCGGAGTGAGTCCCTCGAGGATGCGCCAAATGAGGAGGGGGTCGTCAATAGTGGCCCCACGCTCCCGAAGACGCCGAGCTGTGTTGTTGAGGCGACGGGTGTAGTCAGCTGCGCCGGTGCAGATGTCAAGGGTGATAGCGTTGAAGTCACGATAGAGGGCATGAAGAGATGCCATGTCCCGACGGTCATACAGATCACAGAGGGCGCGCCAGAGAACTGAAGAGGAAGTGGCGTCAAGCTCGCTCTGGAGCGAGGTCGGGATGCAGGAGTTGATGAGGCCAATAGCCCGAGTGTCGGCAATGCACCAGGCGGCATGGCGAGTGTTGAAATCAGTCAGTTGGGAGGTGTAAGACGTCTTATCGGCAGCGTACTTCGCATGAAGGGCAGCAGCCAAGGTGTGAGCAGCAAGGGCTGCCTTGTGGGTATCCACCAGTCGCGTGTGTGTCGCTACCTCCTCCGCGTAGGTGGTGAGGCGCGAGGCATTGGTGGTGTTGTCAGAAACGAGGCGAGGGAGATCGGGCGGGCGAGGTGCTTCGCCAGGATGGGGTGGTGGAGGAGGAGGTTCAAGACCAAGGAGGGGAGGTGGCTTGGGCTCAAGGCCATCCGGTTCGGCAAAGACAACGGAATGGAGGTTGGCACCGCCAATAATGGTGGAGCGGAGGACACCGGTGAGGCTCTGTGAGAAACGGTGCCAATTCAGTGCAGTAGTGCCATCCTGGACTTCCAGGCGAACAATGGAGCCAGTATCAATAGGCACGGAGTCAGTCGCCATGAGTGCTGCTGCCACCGTTCAGCTCTGCTGCTGCTGCTGCCCAGTCACGTTGCTGCTGCTGCCCAGTCACGCTGCTGCTGCTGCCCAGTCACGCTGCTGCTGCTGCCCAGTCACGCTGCTGCTGCTGTCCAGTCACGCTGCTGCTGCTGTCCAGTCCTGCTGCTGCTGCTGTCCAGTCACACTGCTGCTGCTGCCCAATCACGCCGCTGCTGCTGTCCAATGCTGCTGCTGCTGCTGTCCAGTGCTGCTGCTGCTGCTGTCCAGTCCTGCTGCTGCTGCTGCTGTCCAGTACTGCTGCTGCTGCTGTCCAGTCCTGCTGCTGCTGCTGTCCAGACCTGCTGCTGCTGCTGTTCAGCCACGCGTCACGCTGCTGCTGCTGTCCAGTCACGCTGCTGCTGCTGTTGAGTCCCGCTGCTGCTGCTGCTGCTGTGTAGGGATCCGCGTGAAATGCGGGGAGGGCCGCGCAGTTGCTCTGCAGGGCTCAGGTGGGTGCTGGAAGAGGGAGCACGATGGGCAGGGAGGCTCGCGTGGCTGGCGGCAGGGGTGTCGTGACGCTTAGAGGGGCCCGTGCGACTGGGAGGAGGGGTGACGCGGCGGGCAGAAGGGCCTCCGCAGCTGCTGGCAGAGGTGCCGTGACAGTCAAATGAAGCAATGCGACCGCTAGCAGAGGATTCGCAACGGTTAAAACGATCCGCGCGACTGCTGGCAGGGACTTCGCGACGGTGAAATTGACCCGTGCGACTGCTGGCAGGGACTTCGCGACAGTGAAATTGACCCGCGCGACTGCTGGCAGGGACTTCGCGATGGTGAAATTGACCCGCGCGACTGCTGGCAGGGACTTCGTGATGGTGAAATTGACCCGCGCGACTGCTGGCAGTGATTTCGCCACGGTCAATGGGGTCCGCGCAACTGCTAATAGTGATGGCGCAACGGGCAGAGGGGTCCGCGTGGTCTGCGCGGCCGTTTAGCAGAGGTGATGCGACGAGCAGGAGGGCCCACGCGGATGCTAGCAGAGTGGCGCGAAGAGTAGGGGGAGCCCGTTAGGTTGCTAAGAAAGGTCGCGACGTACTAAGGGAGGCCGCGCGACTAAGTCGGACGATTTCGCTTAGCTGCTGGAGTGTATAAGGGAAGATAGGAAAAACAAAGGTTAGGCCTAGGATCTAGTGGCGTTTGCCTTAGGCTCTGAATACCATGAAAGAAACTAGGAGTTGTAGAAACTTGAGGAAGAATCATTGAAATTAGCTCAAGAGAGCACAAGGTTATACAAGGGAGAGAAAGATTGGAGAAGAACACCAAACCTAGCACATAAGACACCAAGACCAAGTAGGCTAGTGGGAGGAAGGACCATCCAACCAACCCTAGTGGGGTGGTGGCCAACCAACCAAAGTTGGTTGCCCCATTTGGCCAACAAGGTTGGAGCCAAGTCTAAGCTAGGATATTTGGGTTCACCCCAATTAGGGTGTCTACCCGCAATACACCCAAAATTAGAGCCTGAACCAACCCAACTGTACACCACTCTTGGTGTACAGTCAGAAGTGTTCGCATTGCTATAATGTATAAATTCTAACACCCTTTGCCCCTCCCATCCTCCCCTCCCACATGCCGTCACTTCCAGCCATGGGCAGGCCAGGCAGCCATCTGGGAGCTGGGATCAGACCGGCTGCTTGGAGTATCAGTCTCGTGTCGCTGACCCTCCTCTCCCACTCCTCCTCCATTCCCCTGCTCCCCCGCCCGTGTACTGCCTGCCTTCAGCTTCCTGGGTCACTTCCAGCCACGGGCAGGCCAAGCAGCCATCTGGGGGCTGGGATGAGACGAGGTGCATGGAGGCACAGGGAGGGGCGTGCATGCACTTCATCTCATGCCACTCTTCCCCCCTTCCCCCCCTTTCCCCCCTTTCACCCCTTTCCCCCCTTTCCCCCCTGCCCCCTCCATTCTCCCCGTGTGCTGCCAGTTTTTTGGGTCACTTCCAACCACGAGCAGGCCAGGCAGCCATCTGGGAGCTGGGATCAGACCAGCACCTGCATGGAGCCACAGGGAGGGGCGTGCAGGCGGGGGAGGTGGAAGGGGAACAGGGGCAGCTGAGTGGAGGGAGGGGAGTGGAGGGGGGTGGAATGATGGGAACAGCAGCCATGCCGTCTGCTTCCTTCTCCCCCAGCCTTGCGTCACTCCATGATGTGTCGGATGCGCTGCCCCGTCCCATGGACCTCTCGCTCCTCCCTTCCCATGTGTGAGCTCCATTCCGTCTGCCCATGTCGTTTCTATCTCATACAAGCTTGCTCCCTCACCCCTCTCATGCCTCATCTGTCAGATGCGCCCTCCCCTTCCCATGGACCTCTCTCTTATCCGTCACCACGTGTGATTTACTTGTTCCCTGACTATTGGGATGTCAAAAAATTCCTCCCCTAATCTCCAAATGCTCCTCACCCCTCCCTTGCCTATCACCCCTCCCTTGCCTATCACCCCTCCCTTGCCTATCACCCCTCCCTTGCCTATCACCCCTCCCTTGCCTATCACCCCTCCCTTGCCTATCACCCCTCCCTTGCCTATCACCCCTCCCTTGCCTATCACCCCTCCCTTGCCTATCACCCCTCCCTTGCCTATCACCCCCCCCTTGCCTATCACCCCCCCCTTGCCTATCACCCCTCCCTTGCCTATCACCCCTCCCTTGCCTATCACCCCCCCCTTGCCTATCACCCCTCCCTTGCCTATCACCCCTCCCTTGCCTATCACCCCTCCCTTGCCTATCACCCCTCCCTTGCCTATCACCCCTCCCTTGCCTATCACCCCCCCCTTGCCTATCACCCCCCCCTTGCCTATCACCCCTCCCTTGCCTATCACCCCTCCCTTGCCTATCACCCCTCCCTTGCCTATCACCCCTCCCTTGCCTATCACCCCCCCCTTGCCTATCACCCCTCCCTTGCCTATCACCCCCCCCCTTGCCTATCACCCCCCCTTGCCTATCACCCCCTCCCTTGCCTATCACCCCTCCCTTGCCTATCACCCCCCCCTTGCCTATCACCCCTCCCTTGCCTATCACCCCTCCCTTGCCTATCACCCCCCCCTTGCCTATCACCCCTCCCTTGCCTATCACCCCTCCCTTGCCTATCACCCCTCCCTTGCCTATCACCCCTCCCTTGCCTATCACCCCTCCCTTGCCTATCACCCCCCCCTTGCCTATCACCCCCCCCTTGCCTATCACCCCTCCCTTGCCTATCACCCCTCCCTTGCCTATCACCCCCCCCTTGCCTATCACCCCCCCCCTTGCCTATCACCCCCCCCTTGCCTATCACCCCTCCCTTGCCTATCACCCCTCCCTTGCCTATCACCCCTCCCTTGCCTATCACCCCCCCCTTGCCTATCACCCCCCCCTTGCCTATCACCCCCCCCTTGCCTATCACCCCCCCCTTGCCCCTCACCGCTCCCATGCCCCTCCTCGACTCAGCCTCTCTGGCTTCCCCCCCTCCCTCCTTTCAACTCAGCCTCTCGGGCTTCCCCCTCTCCCTCCTTTCAAGGTGCCTCAAAAGCCCTCCTCCCTGCGCCTCACACTCGAACCCCACTGCTTACAGACGATTTTTGTGGCACTTAAATTATCATCCCCTGTTGCTCCCGCCCTTTATCCCTCTTATCCCTCCCTCCCTCCCTTCCTCCTCTCCCTCCTTCCCTCTTCTCCCTCCCTCCCTCCCTCCTTCCCTCCCTCCTCTCCTTCCCTCCCTCTCCCCCGTACAGACCCCTGTGGCTGCCGTCCCCTCCTCCCTCTCCCTATCCCCCTCCTCCTGCTGCCCACGCTCCCTCCTCCCGCCCCTCTCCCCCACCCGCCTCAATCAAGCTCACCTCCTTTGACCGTCTGCTGGGGGCAGGATCTGCAGCAGCAGGGGGGGGAACAGCCGTGCGAGTCTACCCTGAGAACAGCAGGGGGAGTGGCAGTCAAAGTGGCAGTGTGGGGCGGGAGGGAGGTGAAAAGGGCGTGCAGGAATGGAGAGGTGTGCGGAGCGGTGTAAGGGGTGGTGGAGAGGTGGGCGGTGGTGGGAAGGGATTGGGGAGGGGAAGAGGCGGGGAGGTGGTTGATCCGCGGGAATGGGCTGGGGAGTTGAAAGAGTGTGGGTATGTGTTTCTGCCCGACCTCACTCCAGATAGTCCCAACAATGCTGTTACTTCCACTGCTACTGTTAATGCTGCTGCTGGTGCTGGTGCTGGTGTGGGTAGCAGCGGTGTGGGAGCAGCAAGGGCTGCGTACCTGGCATTGCGGAGAGATGGAGGGGAGGCGAGTGCGTTGCACCTGGCGCATGCATGCATGGACGGCTCTTCGTGGCACTTTCACCAGAGGTGACGCCTCATGCCATGCCATGCCATGTCACAAGATCTCATGGCTCTCCATGCACTGCCAACCCATCCCGCACCTTCACAGGGCGTGCAGTATGGCAGGACATGTCCTTACACCCTCATCACCTCGCTGCACGCTGTTCCTTCTCTCCCCTCTCTCACCTCCTGCACCCCCCAGCTACCTCGCATCCGTGCCCTCCCTCATTCCCGGCAACACCCTGGCTTCTGTGGGGGGTGGCGGCAGACACGAGGTGACTTCGGAGTCGACTAAAAATTCTCTCCCCTTCCTCTACCCTCGATTCTTTCCCCCCTCTCACACCCATGTATGTACCCACCAGCTACCTCGCATCCGTGCCCTCCCTCATCCCCGGCAACACCCTGGCTTCTGTGGGGGTTGACGGCGCACACACACACAGGCAGGCAGGCATGCAGGGAGCATGGCCTTTAGAGCTGCAGGTGAGTCAGTGCGTCCCGGTGTGCAGCAGGGAGTGGCATTGGTCCACGGGGAAACTAGTGCGAAACTCCTAGTGCAAGTCTTGGGAGCATGGCCTCTGGAGCTCTTCTGTGGGGGTTGAGGGCGGTCACGCACACAGGCCGGCGGCCGTGCAGGGAGCATGGTGGGTTGGCCTCTGGAGCATGGTGGCTTGGCCTCTGGAACATGGTGGCTTGGCCTCTGGAGCATGGTGGCTTGGCCTCTGGAGCTGCAGGTGAGTCACTCAAGCCCCGCTGTGCCAGAGGGGAGGTCGTTACGAGTCTGTTTTGGTGCGTCTCAAAACAGCCGTTAGTGGTGTCTGGGAGCTTGGCCTATGGAGCTGCTGGTTATTCACACTCAGCCGCTTTACAGGTCTCAAGTTTCAGTGCAAGTTTCAGTGCAAGTTTCACTGTTCATTCCCTCTCCCTTACTCCCCTCCTGCGAGTTATATCTGAAGCGTAACCCTTCTTTGCCTTCTAGTCAATTCATGCCGCTCCCCATCTTTTTCCCGCTCCCCCTCCCTGCTTTCTGTTGTCACTGCAGGGCTTTGATGCAATCAACAGCCCTGGAGTGACAAGAGGAGGGGGCAGGGAGGGTCCGAGGCTGGATGAGATGCTGGGAGGGTGGGCCGTGGCAGAGGCGGCCGTGGAAGACGCGAGGAGGGCAGAGGAAGCAGAGGAGGTGGTGAGGAGGGAGGCAGAGCTCTTGGGTGGTGATTATGGGGTGAGTGTGCCCCATGTGCTGCCTGCGGTGGTGTGTGCTGGGCTCATGGATGGGTGGGTGGCACAGGGCCAGGCCGATCTGAGAGCACCGTTCCAGCCATTGCCTTACTGAGCTGCTCTAAAGGTGTGCCACATTATGGGGTGTAGCATGTACAGTGGCATGCATGTGCTGCCTGCAGTGGGGTGTGCTGGGCTCATGGATAAGTGGGTGGCACAGAGTCAGACTGACATGAGAGCACCTTTCCAACCATTGCCTTACTGATTTGTTGTAACGCCACGCCACAAACGTGGTTTGTACAGTATGCTAGGCATGTAGAAAGCCTTATACGGTAATGTGATCCAAGTTGTATGGTTTGTTTACAAACACCTAAAGTTGTATTGAATCTTTTTGTGGGTGGATGGTTTGTATGTGGGCAAGGGAGTGTATGGCCCCACCCACCCACTTGCATTTGCCAGGTGCCGCCACTCTCGCCACTTGAGAAATTTGGCTACCACTCTCTCCCACATGCATCATGCATAAATATCTCCCTCTGCATCTCCTCCTCACCAGGGCCCAAAATATCAGGGTAAAATGCCCTGATTACCCTGGGGGCGGGCCACTTTTTCAGAGTTACCCTTTCTAAATCAGGCTTCGTAGATTCTTACCCTTACCCAAAAAGTGTTGGTGTTTTTTTCCCCTGATTGGATTTTTAGTTAGCCTGACGGAATCAGGGTTGTGTGACGACTACTCAGTTACCGAAACTATTTTTAACGCGGATCAGCCCATTCTCCGCGTGGTGCCAAAATGTCCCACTCTAACACTGGCACCGTTGTCACTGGTAACGACAGGCGGGAAACCGTGAAATTTTGTCGACGGCTTGCCATGTGGCCTTGTTGGCTGTCTTGCCCACAGGACTGCCAACGCACCCCTGCATCGAGCCAAACCACGCCACGCCCACTACCAGGTGAGCAGAGTTGCGCATCAAGGACAGCTTCTTGCTCTCCTACGCATCAACTGAGTAGTTGTGACGTTCATGCAACCTTATTAATACTGAAGAAATTACGTAACAGACAAAGTAGTATTGGAAACAGGCTATCTGTAGAAATACCCTGCTCAAATCAGGCTACCATGCCGAAATCCTTGAGTTACCCTGATGCAAACAGGGTATGGAAAATTTTACACAACGGGTCAGGGTAAAGAGGAGCTGCAACCCTGATTTGTCAGGGTGGGCCTAAACCAATTTTGGGCCCTGCTCCTCACACACCAGCATCTTTGCATCACCCATCCACCCACAGCTGCAGCTCCTTCAGCAGAGACGCCTTGCTCTCCCTGCTCGCCCCACAGCTGTTGTGAAACGCTACCACCTCCTCCCTATGCTGCTGCACCCACTGCCTCTCCTCACACACCACCGCACTTGGCAGAAACAAAAATGCAGGCAAAACCCCGATTGTGATTCCTTCACCACCTGCCCCTTCACCTGCCTGTGCTTCCACCACACGTGCTACGGCATGGTTGAGAGCACTTTGCACGGCCACAGACAACGCGAGGGGTGTGCTCTCTCCGTTCCCCTGCGCCTTGTCTGAAAGAGAAGGCTCTTTGGACATAGTCTTGAATGCTTGTAATCCCCAGGAAAGGGCGAGGGAGTGAGTTGAGGAGGGAGGGTGAGCGGAGGGGAAGGAGGAAGGAGAGGGGGGGCGGAGCAGAAACAGCCAGGGAGAGAGAGAGCCGAGGTGGGATCGGTCGAGAGGGGTGGGAGTGGTGGTGTTGAGGGTGGGGGGGGTGGGGGAGTGGGAGGTGGAGGGGAGGAGGACGGAGAAATTGGCAGGGAGGAAAGGCAGAGGGTTGCGAAGCCATACAGTTGACGGGTCACTGACGTGGGCGGTGGTGGGAAGGGGGAGAGTTCAACGGGTCAAAAGAGAGGGGGAAAAGGAGAACTAGGAAAAAACGTAAAACCCAAAATGTTGTTGCTGTTTTTCTTTTCTTTTCTTGTCTTTCATTTTTGGGTGGAACTATTGAAGGATGAGCAGAAGGCAAGTGGAACGTAAAGAGCAAGAGATGGTGAAGAAGGGACACAAGGGAGTGGTATTCACCGTCACGTGGACAGAATCTGTCTAATTCTAAAAAAACAGACTCAAAAGAAGTGGTGTTCGCTGTCATGTGGACAGAATCTGTTTAATTCTCAAAAAACAGACTCAAAAGAAGTGGTGTTCGCTGTCATGTGGACAGTTGCAGGCTGAAGCAGCCAATGCGGTTGTCAAAGGATTGGTTAGAAAAATGCATGATAACTGAAGCTTTGGCTGTGCCAATGAAGAGTGCAGGGGAGACGGGCAAACTCACTTTGCTCGCACATCCATCTTAACCGCACCACACCCACCTGAACAGCACCGTGATGTTGGCAGCAAGTAGGCGCGAGGCCAGCAGCGCCGGCATGAGCAGACACGCTAGCCTGTCCCTCTCCTCTGCCTTCTCCCCTGCCTTCTCCTCACTCCCGCTGCCGCCAGTAGACGCGGCAGAGGCAGGCTGGCGAATAATGTGACTGGCGGGAGCGTTGGCAGGTAGAGGTACCTGAAGGAAGGGTGAAAAGGGGTGGAGATGAGCAGGGAAGGGGAAGACCTTTGAGACGTCTCAATAGAAACAGCAGAAGCGGGCTGACGAATGACATGGCTGGCGGGAGAATTGGCAGGTAGAGGAATCTGAAGGATGGGTGCAACAGGGTGGGACGAGCAGGGAGAGTTGTAATATTTCTATGCAGCGTACATAGGCTAGAATAGGAGGTGTAGTGGCTAGCTGCGTTAAAGGGGTGGTTGAGAGGGGGCAGGTGGGAGGGGGGACTCAAATGATGCAAAGAGGGGGCAGTGAGGCAAGGCGGGGTATGAGTGGTACAGGTAAAGGGGACAAGGCACGAAGCTCCTTTGCGGGTCACACAAGGGGGGAAGAAAGCGCATGGGGTGTGAGATGGGTGGATGGAAGAGCAGATGTACTGAGGTCGCTTCTGAGCATTCTCAGATATGGAAAAGCAGAGTACATGGGACAATAAGGCACCAGGAAGAAGGAAGAAGAATCTGAGTTCTTGAGCATGCCTGGGCATGGCCAGGAATAATAGTTTGACTGGAATGACTAGCACGAGAATGACACCTGACTGGCAAGAGAAGCACACCTGACTGGCAACCGAATCACACCTGCCTGGCAACAGAATTTCACCTGGCTGGCAACAGAAGCACACCTGACTGGCAACAGAAGCACACCTGACTGGCAACAGAATCACACCTGAATGGCAACAGAAGCTCACCTGAGTGGCAACAGAGGCAAGGAAGTTGGTTGAGAGGCCGAGCTTTGAAATGGCCCCCAGCCAACTCCTGAACAGGTCCGACTCGCTTGCTGTGCCCATGCCATGCCATGCCATGCCATGCCATGCCATGCCATGCCACGCCATGCCATGCCATGCCATGCCATACCAAAATATGCAATCGCATCTCATCACATGACATGATGCAGGCATGGGAAAAGAAAGACAGAAAAAGAAAGGCAAGAGGCGATCCCATCAGAGTGATGCAGACAGCTTAAAAAGTGGAACAGCCACGCTTGTGCCAGCCGAGCTTTGAAATTGACCCCAGCCAACTCCTGAACAGGTCCGACTCTGTGCCCGTGCCATGCCATGCCATGCCATGCCATGCCCCGCCATGCCATCCACACCATGCCATCCACGCCATGCCATGCCATGCCGTGCCATGCCACAATGTGCGTCACATCACATGAAATCATGCATGCATGGCATGGCAGGCATGGGGGGGATGGGAAGGAAAGATGGATAAAGAAAGGCAAAAGGCAATTAGATGAGAGAGTGATGCAGGCAGCCTGGAAGTTGGAACAGCCATGCAGCATGAGTCTACGTGTTTTGTTCTGCCACCCATAGCACTCTACAACCACCACAACACCCACCCCCACCCACCCCCACCCACTCGTTCCATACCATGGCAGAGCACGGTGAGAATGAGCGGGCCATCCCTGGCCACACCAGGTGCCACCCTCAAGACGGCATCCACATGTGACGGCACCCACTCCGCCACTCCCATCAACCTCCTCTCCATCTCCTCCTCCCCTTCCTCGCCTCCCTGCCCTTCCTCCTTGCCTTCCCCACCACCACCAGCAGCAACAGCAGCAGCAGCAGGAGCAGGAGCAGGAGCAGAAGGAGCAGCAGCAGCAACAGCAGTACCATCACCACCGCCGCTCCCACTGCTCCCCTCTCCCTTGCCCTTCTCCTCTCCCTCGGGTGCCGGCGGTGGCAGCAGCCACACGCCAGCCTCAATCAACCGCTCAATCTTCTTCCGCTTCCCCACCACATAGTTGGCATGCACCATCACCACCCCCGGCTTCAACCCCAGAAACCCCATCATATCATTCGCCATCAGCTCGCCCGAAGGGAATTTTTTTCCGGGCAGCACGCCGATATTCGCCTCAATCCCCCGCTCTCTCATAATCTTCATCACATCGAGTAAATGGTCCTGGTCTAGTCCGATCTCATGCCCTCTCTCCACCATGCTAAATGCCCACATGGCTGCGAGAGCCTTGGCTCCCGCTGAGGGGCGGAAGAAGAGGAAGCAGGAGCACATGACCATTGGGAGTCCCGGCTCGGCCAGACTGACCGTGTGATCTGGGCCGTCCGTCCAGGCTTGATCTGCGGTGATGAACACGTCGAATTCTTTCGGCGGAGCAGGGGCAGGTGGGGGAGAGGAGGAGGACGAGGAGGAGGGGGGGGATGAGGAGGAGAGAGGAGCGAAGTACGGGAGGGGGTTTTGAAGCAAAGCGAGGTCGATATCTGAGTAGAGGACAGAGAAGCCGAATGCGAGGAGGTGCAAGATGTAAACGGCCCGGCGGGACGCCACGCGGTGGAAGCCTGCTGAGTTGATCCCTATGGCCTTTGAGACATCCACATTTTCGTCTTCGTGCACGAACTGGCCCTCCAAGTCCAGCAGGAGTGCCTGTGGGGGAGGGAGTGGGGAGGGAGAGGAGGAGGAGGAGGAGGGAGAGGAAGAGGAGGTGCAGGATGTAGACGGCCCGGCGGGATGCCATACGGTGGACGGCCGCTGAGTTGATACCTACTGCTCTGGACACATCCACATTCTTGTCCTCATGCAGTAGGACGAGAATGTGGACGTGTCCAGAGCAGGGACTGACCCTCCAAGTCCAGCAGGACCGCCTGGTGGGATGGCAGGGAGGGGGCAAGGCGGGATGCCAGGGAGGGGGCAAGGCGGGATGGCAGGGAGGGGGCAAGGCGGGATGGCAGGGAGGGGGCAAGGCGGGATGGCAGGGAGGGGGCAAGGCGGGATGGCAGGGAGGGGGCAAGGCGGGATGGCAGGGAGGGGGCAAGGCGGGATGGCAGGGAGGGGGCAAGGCGGGATGGCAGGGAGGGGGCAAGGCGGGATGGCAGGGAGGGGGCAAGGCGGGATGGCAGGGAGGGGGCAAGGCGGGATGGCAGGGAGGGGGCAAGGCGGGATGGCAGGGAGGGGGCAAGGCGGGATGCCACGCGGTGGAAGCCCACAGAGTTCATCCCTGCTGCTCTCGATACGTCTACGATTTCGTCCTCATGCACGAACTGGCCCTCCAAGTCCAGAAGAAGGGCAAAAGGGCGAGGGGGGGGAGGGCAAGGGAGCGAAGAATGGGAAGAACGCCGAGTTGATCTCTATTGCCTGTGAGACGCCCACACCCTCGCACTCACGCACCAACTGACCGTTTAAGTCCAGGAGAAGCGTTGGGGGGGGAGGGAGAAAGGGAGGGAGAACGGGAGGGAGAACGGGAGGGAGAACGACAGGGAGAACGGGAGGGAGAACGGGAGGGAGAACGACAGGGAGAACGGGAGGGAGAACGGGAGGGAGAAATGAAAGGCAGTGGCAGTGGGAGCAAGGGAGTGGCAAGGTCGATCCTATGTTGCACTATACGCTTAGGGTGTTACTCGTTTCACGTTTATGCGTTCACGTATAAACACAAAAACGTGAAACGGGGACAAATGCGCGATACGGAAAGCCGGGCAGACAAAAAAAAAAAAAAGTTGGCGCTCTTTCCGTACGCACGTATACCGACATTTCGATTCGCGTTTTTTTCAATCATGGGACGTGCAAAACCGAGTCGCTACGTTCACCTCACGTACATCAACATTGCCCGATCACCCCCAACAAGTCGTGACCAACCACAGCACGTCCCCCTCCCCACAACCAATACGTGGTTAGTATAATTCACCCCACTTCAACACAATTCTCATCCAGTTCTTCCTAGCCTCCCGTTTGTTTTCTGTTGAACTATGGCTACTCCAGACCCATCTCCCAGCACTCAGACTAGTGATCCGCTAGCCTCGACCTCGGAGGCACAATGGCAGGAGGAGGATAGTACGCATATCGTTTTCAAGCATTTCAAGGTTCCGATCCGCCCCGACACCGTCGGCGCTGTCCGCGTTTGCAAGTATTGCACCATCAAGTTCAAGGGTGGTGCGTTTCGATGCGCTCAGCATCTCGCGAAATGGAAGGGACAGAAAACGCGCGACGTCCGCCTGTGCGCGAAGGCTCCGTCCGATGTGCGAGCGGCGGTGCGCGCGCATTACGAGAAGAAGACATCCGGCCGCGTCGAAAAGAGGAGGGCCGAGCAGGCTGCGCTCGAAGCTGTCATGGGAGGTTCGAAGAAAGGCCGCATCACCGACTTCATTGGCGACGACGCGAAATGCAAGAAGGGCGAGGCGGACAACTCCGTCTGCATGTTCTTCGCCGGCTATCGCATTCCCGTACACCACACCTACAACCCGTTGTGGCGCAACATGGTCAGGGCCATTAACAACGCAGGGCCCGATTATGTCATGCCGCGCCGTAACTACGTGGGAGGGGCTGGGCTGAAGCTTTGCCGCACGGGCATCGAGAAGGGGCTTCAGCCAATCGCCGCTAGCTGGAAGAGGGATGGCGTCACCGTCTCCTCGAACTTGATGACCGATCGGTGCGGGAGGCCGTAGGCGAACATCATGCTGATCAACGATTCGGGAGCTGTGTTTGTCGAAGCTATTGACTGCAAAATGGAGTCAAGAACCGGCGGCTACATCGCGTCCCTTCTCCGCCCCATCATCGAGAAAGTGGGGCCCGAAAACGTAGTCGCTCTTTGCATGGACGGGGGCTCCAACTACGGGGCCGCCTGCAAGGAGCTCATGGCGGATTGGCCGCACATCGAGTACGTGCCGTGCGCTACGCACGTGCTCGACCTCCTGATGGAGGACGTGGGCAAGATCCCGTGGGCGAAGGAGATTGTGGATCGGTGCGGGGACATGACCACCTACGTCCGCAACCACCATTTCACCCGCAATTACCTGAGGAGTGGGGCGGTGAAGGGAGGAAAGGGGAAGCAGCTTGTGAAGCCGGCGGGGACCAGGTTCGGCACCAACTTCATCGCTCTCTCAAGGCTGTGCCAGCTGCGGCCGACGTTGTCTCAGATGGTGCTGAGCGAGGAGTACGGCAACTGGGGGATGGGGACAAGGAAGCTGACGGCGAATACGTTCCGCGGCCACGTCATGGACGACAAGTGGTGGACGAAGGCAACATACCTCGTGGAGCTCTTGGCGCTTCCGTTCAAGGTGATGTGGGCCACGGACAGCAGCGCGAGAGGCATGATGGGCACCATCTATGACCTCATGCTCCAGCTGACCGAGGACATGATGGCCAAGCAGGAGGCGGGGGATAAGATTCTGACGCGGGCGGATGCGGCTGAGATAGGGAAGATTGTTAGGCGCCGTTGGGACGAGAGCCTCGCTTGCGCTCTTCACGTCATTGGCTGGATCCTGAACCCGGCAAATCAGGAAGAGGGTATATTCCGCACCGATGTGGAATGTACGCGCATCTTGAAGGCGTTCATCGCACGTCACTACGACGACAAGAACTTCACCAATAAAGACGGTGAGGAGAAGCGGGTCTCTCTTGTTTTGCAGGAGGGGCTCACGGCCTTCCTCACCCTTGAAGGATCCTTCGGCCTCCCTGAGGCAATTGCCGACAAGCAGGCCGTGAAGGTGGCAAGCACTCGATGGTGCAGTGGTGGGGATGGCACGGGACTGACCACCCCCACCTTGCCAGCCTTGCGTGCCGTGCCCTGACACAGCCGGTGTCAGCCTCGTCGTGTGAGCGTGGGTGGGCATCATGGGAGTCGGTGCACACTGCCCGCCGCAACAAGCTAGGCTCGGAGAAACTCTGGGACCTAGTTTATGTGGCCCACAACTGGCATGTGGTCCACAAGTACCACAAGAGGGGTGAGTCACTGGCGGTGCTTCCGGGCAACATCCCTGCTCCCCCTCTGCCGGAGGGATACAAGGAGGAGGAGGAAGGGGAGGAGGAGGAGGAGGAGGAGGAGGAGGAGGAGGAGGAGGAGGAGGAGGAGGAGGAGGAGGAGGAGGAGGTGGAGGAGGATGAAGCCGTGCTGGCCGATGAGACGTGGAGTAAGAAAGTCAGGAATCAGACAAGTAGTTGCTAGTATGTGTGTGTGTACTTGCAATGCATGTTTGTAATGCGGAAAACAAAATTCATAAGTGGGGAAAAAACCACCATGGCAAAAACACAATGAACATAGGCAACACGACTCACCCCCTGACACTACTTTTCCCCTGCCCGAAACTTTTTTTCCCTCTGCCCAGGCGAACGTATTTGGAGAGTGTATCGTGGGGCGGAAATCCCCCGTCTCACGTTCGTACGTGAGCGTATAATTCGAACGCGATTGGTACGCCATTCGCGTATAGTGCAACATAGGGTCGATCCGCCTGTGCGTTTGTGTACCAACTGGCCCTCTGATCAGGGGGAGACTAGAATGGTATGTAAAGAGGGGAAGACGGGGGCCAGGGGGAATGGCGGAAAAGGGAGAGACTAGAATGGGGGTTAGACTAGAGTGGGGGGAAGAATGGGTAGAGGGTGAGTGAAGGCATGAAATAAGGATCCCACCCATCCCATCTCATCCCATCCCATCCCATCCCATCCCATCCCATCCCATCCCATCCCATCCCATCCCATCCCATCCCATCCCACATGTCCTACCCACCCCATTCATTTCCTCCCATCCCACCCATCCCAGCAAAAATGGAACTGAGTTTTCCAAGTTATAACTGCCATGCCACAGTCAACCCCTTTCCCCTTACCCACCCGCGCATAGTCAAATCACTGCTTCTCCGCCTTGTCGGCATGCAGTGCAGCACCCAGCCCTGCCTTGCCTCACAATCCCTTCCAGCCCATGCGCATCCCTCCATCCCCCCCACCCACCTGCCTGGGCCATTTCTTGTTGGCAAAGTCGAAGCACTGCTTCTTTGCTGCAAAGACGATTCAGTGCGCCCAGCCGTGCCTTACAACCCCATTTACCTCATTCATGCCCCACAACACAGCCCCACCTGCCCCATGCATGCCTCACAACCCCACCTGCCCCGGCCACTTCTGGTTGGCATAGTCAAAGCTCTGCCTTTCCGCAGCAAAGATGATGTAGTGCCCTTGTAGGCCCACTTTGTCCGCGTGAAGTGCCCAGTTCTCCAGCATCTCCTCGTAGCCTGCTTGTGTGTGAGGGTGCGTGGGTGGTGGGGAGGGTCAGAATGTGCCTAGAAAGGAGAGCCCAGGCCCACTTTGTCAGCGTGAAGTGCCCAGTTCTCCAGCATCTCCTCGTAGCCTGCTTGGTGGAGGGAAGCAGAGAGGAAGGTGGGGGGGTGAGGAGATGGGGAGGAGGGGGTCGTTGGTAGTGCGAGAGACTGGTCAGAATGTGCCTGGGAAGGAAGCGCAGCACCACTTCCTCGCATACAGCAACAAGTTCTCCAGCAGCTCCTCGTAGCCTGATTGTGCGGAGAGGTGAAGGGCAGAGTGGGAATGGGGGTCCAGGGACTGGTGAGAATGCGCCTGGGACGGAAGCGCAGCCCCACTTCGCCTGCATGCAGCGCCAGTTCCCCAGCAGCTCCTCGTAGCCTGTGGGGGGAAGCAGGAGGGTGGGGAGGGGGAAGTGGGGGATGGGGGATTCAGAGGCGGGTTAGATGGAATCTGCTGAGGAAAGCGCAGTGTCTCTTCGTAGCCTGCTGGGGGGGGGAGGAGGGGGGGGGAGGAGGGGGGGGGGGGGGGGGGGGGACGATGTGATACGATTCGATTCGATGCGAAGTGATGCGATACGATTCGATTTGATAAGATACGATACGATACGATACGATACGATACGGTACGATTCGATTCGATACGCTACAATATGGCACGATACGATGCAATGCGATATGATTCGATACGATACGATACGATACGATACGATACGGTACGATATGGCACGATACAATGCGATACGAAGCACGATAGGATACCATGCCATACAACTCGCCTGCATTGGCGGACACGATGACGACAGTCCCGTTGACCGCCACGCGGCTCGCCATGTCCCACAGCGGTGCCAGCCTCGCGTGCATGTCACCACCGCCCTCCCCTAGTCGCCGCCTCCCTCCACCCGCCCACAAGCCATTTCCCAGCAGTTGCCTTGCCTCACTTGGAGTCGAAGCGCCCAAAAATGGATGTTCTCCGCGAACGCGACTCGGCAGGCGCCGCCGATTTTCGGGCGTCCCGCCTGTCAGCCGCCGCAGCGCGGTTTCTGACGTGGCGGAGTGTGATAGGCCGTCGTTACGTGGCGTGTGTTCGAGGACCTCGCGGGGCAAGCAAGCGGCGAGGGTTGGGATGGGGCTGAGCAGGAGGACGAGGAGGGCGAAGAAGGCGTGGAGCAGCGGCACGGGAATGAGCCGCGAGAGGCAGAGGTGATGGGAAGTTTGAGTCGACTCCAAAATCACCTTCGAATTCGTCGGATCAGGAACTACTATTAGGCGGCGGGGAGGGCAAAGAGTCGATGACGCCGATGATGATAATGGTGATGATGGCGATGATGGCGATGACGCCTCCATGGGAGCGACGGCTCCGGCTGCTCCCATGCTCGCTCGCTAACGTGACGTCGCACGCTCTCGATGCGACGACGATCTGGCTATTATTGCATCAGTGCGCCGCGTGAGGGTAGTTCAAACTGACCGTAAGCCCAGTAACCGGGCCCCGTCGACTTTTGAGAGCTTCGCCGGGAATGGTAACTGACATTTGACGGGCATTTAACGGGCATTTGTCAAAGTTACTCGCTGCATGTTTTGTTTAGGGGCCGTCCATGAGTCAGGGTTGCGCTGAGCCTATTCCCAGACGCGATAAGGGCTTCTTCCGACCGTTTCGGGCTTCTTCCGACCGTTTCCTTGATTTTACATGTAACTGCGATTCGGGTCTCCCCTCTTTCTCCCCCACACCTCTCCCTCCATGCGAAGACTGCTAATCTGTGGTGCAGTCACGCTAGCTTTCCCTCCTTTCCCCTTCTCCCGTCGTTCTTATCGACCTATCGTGCAGGCCCGAGATGCCCAACTGAAGGGTGAGTTAGCTCTCATAATAATTCCTAGCCAATGGTTGGGCCCCACTGACAGGTTGGGTCAGAAACTGCCCCTTTGCCAACTGGGGCTCCTCACGGCACTAATTGCCAGCATTCCCTGATGCACCTGAAGATGTCCCCGTCGCAGCATTGTTTCGCGGCTCAGCGTTGTGTCCCATGAGTTTGTTTACAGTTCATGTTGATATTTGTAACCCTATTTTCTGTGTGTAACTTATATATTTCGACTACTCTAGACAGGTGTCTTCAATGACGCGCGACAGTGACGCGCCAAACATGTCAAGATGTTCGTTTTTTAACATGTTCATAAACAGCTTCCAAGGTACGCACCCCAACTCGAACAGGTCCGTGTAAGCCGTCACCTCAAATCTCAGAATTCGCCCAGCCAGGGCTGATTTTATCAGGGTAATTACCCTGATTTCAGGGTGATTACAGGCTTCTCAACTGCTGGGCCCTGCAATTTCAGTTTTTTTAACTTGTGAACTCTGATCCAATCAGAAAAGTTACTTAACGAACCCTGAAATCTTATAACTAGACTCAGAGTAGTGTACTTGCGGACTATGTCTATGCAGAGTATGCGTTCGGTGGACCCTGAATGCGAGGGTATCGGGACGAAGGTTCCTCGAAGTTTCCTTTCGATAACCCCCCCCCCTGTGCGTAATCATTACTTCGCGTGGCCCCATGTGAGGTACCCCGTTCACGCGCTGGACTGACGTAATAACGACACCGAATTCCAACACAGTGCTGTAAAGACAGCTGTCAACAGTGACAACGCACCCAAATCTATGATACGTTGCTGCCACGCGCACCTCGCAGTGCACAGCATGCCTCTGCCATTCGCCAGAACGGCATGTTGACAGTATGCGCTGGCAGCTAAGCAGTCCTTGAATGAGTTCGGCCTTGCATCTACAGCCGAATTCATTGACGAATGTTGCCATCAACCTTGTGGCATCGCGCCGCGGTGGTTTCGTGATGACCCCGCCATCTCCAACCTTCCTTTCCTTCCCCCTACCCAGAGCCAGGCTTCCTTCGCTTCCTGCTTTTCGTTCAGTATCACACTTTCCTCTCGCTCCATCTTTCCCCTAGCTCGCCGCCATGGAGGCCCTGCCGGCCGACGAAGATGCTCCTCAGACTGGCCCTGACGAGCCACCTTTACTGGCGAAACCGACAGCGCAAGCCTTGCCGGAGAAAGCATCAGATGATCCCCGGTCTGGGCTCGATTTTCTTAGAGCTACCGGTGCTCCGGTGACACCAGAACCTCCTAGGTCTACGGTTCATGACTCTGCTGCTAAAGTAACCCCTACTCCTTCTGATTCTCCACATCCTGTCGCCTTCACTCTACCCCCGGCTGTTGCTTCTTGCAGCAAAGATCCCCCACCGCCATCGCCTAGCCCCACTCCAAGCACGGTGCGTGTGTCTGTTGGCCCGCCGTCGGCTTCTTCCACTCCCAAGCGAGCGCGAAATGGGAAGTGGGTGCAGAGTACTCTGGTCGTCGGAGGCCGCCGTATTCCACCGCCTGACAATGACAAGCCGGCAGATCCTCCACCGAAAGAAGCTGAGCAACCGGAGGAAGTTGACATCCCTGTGCGCGCGGATACCGGCTCGCCCGCACTCACCAAGATGCAGCTGCGAGAGCAGGTGTACCTTGAGGCGAGTATTAACTACGAGACGAAGTGGTCGCAACACTTTTCCTGGCTGGTGTTTGGGAAGACCAAGGACGGTTTTCCATACGTGAAGTGCTCCATCTGCATGTCGTACGCGAAGGGGAACACGAGGTACGCCATGCAAGGTGACGACGGTGGCCGTGACTTGCAGACGCAGTCGTTCAGGGCGCACGAGCATACGGACGCACACAAGGCGGCGGTGGATCGGCAGTTGAAGCTTGCGGCGGGCATCCGCGAGGGCCAGCAGGCGATTTTTGACTTCATCAACTCCGACGTCGAGGGGCGGCGCGCGATTCGTCTCATGCGGTCTACGCAGTTCCTGTGCCAGTGCGACGCGCCGATTAGCATGTTTCCGAAGCTGATGCGGCATCTTGCGGAGCAGGACACGCCAGACATTCCTCGACAATCTTACGGCGTGTATCTCACACGTTATTTAATCTTACCGTTAGATTGCAGCTGGACATATGTGACGTGTGGTTTTTTTATTACGATCGTGACCATTTTATTCTCCTCTGTGCAGATACGGGTTCCAACAAATGGTTCACAGCATCAGTACATACCTCACTCGGGTCCAGATGGACCACATCCTGGCATCCCCCTTCCTGGGCATTCAGTGCGACGAGAGCACAGACCGAACGCGAAGGAAACACATTATTGTGTGCCTTACGTTTTTTAAGAATCGCCAAATCGCATGCGAGTTCTTTACATTGCTGACGGTTGAGCAGTGTGATGCAGGGTCTCTGTTCGAGGTGCTTCTGAACCATCTCCGCTCCGCAGCCGTCGATGTGTCCAAGATCGTCGGCATCAGCACGGATGGGGCGTCGGTCATGACCGGGAAAGAAAACGGATTGGTGGCGCGTCTTCGGGAACACGTTCCGCACCTGTTTTCATGCCACTGCATCGCCCACCGGTGTGTATCAAGTTTCCTAGTTGGTGTGGTTTTCTACGTATAAGATTAACCAATTACCTCTTGATTTGTATTCCCTGCATCCTACAGTGAGGCGTTGGCTGTGAAGGACGCCGCTGAGTCAAACGAGGACCTTGGCATGGTCGACAAGGTGGTGCGCACAGTGGCGACGCTTCTCGGAAACTCAAGCGTGTGGAGTCAGCGCTTCAAGTACCTTCAGCGAGTGATCTACCAGACAAACCTCGAGGTCCAAGGAATCCACACGGTTCGATGGCTGTCACGAGGTGATGCGGTGCGCAGGCTGTGCAAGGTCCTCGGCGCTTGCATCGTGCTGCTCTGGGAGCACAACCACAAGGCCTACGAGATTGTGACGTGCTACAAGTTCCAGTTCTGTTTGTTTTTCCTGGCCGACATTCTGGCCGACATGAACGACCTCAACCGCTGCTTCCAGAGGCGTGAGGTGAGATTGAATGCTAGTATAATGTTGAGATGGGAAGTGTAATCCTACACTTTTGCTAATCCTACTCCCTGTTGTTGGTTGCATGTGTGACAACTGGATGTGACTGAGATTTCGAAGACTATTGAGTCCACCACGGGTGACCTGACGGAGCGCTACTTGATGACAAACAAACCGTTCGGGGGCGAGGGGAAGAGCTGGCTGGTAAACTTCCTCAAGGTCCACAAGGAGGGTGGAGGCAAGCAGGTCCGGGTTCGAGGCGTGGACGGAGAGGGATGCCCAATCAACCACCTCTACACCATGCATGAGAGGAAGCTGAAGGGCCACAAGCATGGAAGCACCTACGCAGACTGCGTGAAGCTGTGCCGCCAATTTGCCCGCGACTGCGTGGACAACCTTAACGAACGGCGGGATGACCTTGGGAAGCTGGGCCCGACGAAGCTGTTCCGGGCGGGGAAGTGGCTGAAGATCAAGGCCCAGCGAGAGAAGAAGTGCAAGGAGTGGCTGCACGGATGCAGCAGGCTCTTCCGCCACAAGCTGCCAGGATTCGACCTCAAAGCAGCAGAGAGGGAGCTCCCGACATTCTGCGCGATCATGGAGTCACACCATGAGATGGAGAGCTTCGCCCAGGGCCTTAACAACTTTCTTGGGAGCGTAGACTCAAAGAGGTAGGCCACTGCATGCGTACGAGTTTTTTACCTATTTGATTTTTATGTTGGTGATTATTAACATGTTGAATTCCAACTTGTTGATTTATTAACTTGTTGATACTTTTACATGTTTTGTTGTGTTTCGAATGTGCCTGGCAGGAGATGGCCCAACCTCATCCTGCTGTGGCAGGCGCTGGCTGTGCTTCCCCTCTCCACCGTGGAGTGCGAGAGGGGGTTCTCCAGGCAGAACATCATCAAGTCCTGGGTGCGTGCAGCGCTCTGCAACGCGCGTCTGGGGGAGCTGATGCAGATATCGCTCCTGAAGTACGAGATCGAATGGCCGGAGGCACTGGAGGTGTGGAGGTCCATGCGGAGGAGGCGCCCTGTGAAGAGCCTGAAGCTGGCCGTGGCAGAGAGGGAGAGGAAGGGGAAGCAGAAGGAGGGTGAAGCTGTGGCTGCTGGAACTGCGGGGGAGAACGAGGACGAGGGGGAGGAGGAGGAGGAGGAGGAGGACGATGAAGTGGAACAGGACTTGGGCGACGATCAGGAGGTCGTGGAAGAGGAGGACAACCCTTTCCTGTCAGACGATGAGGACGTAGAGGAGGTGTACTTCATTGACAAACCCGTGCACTAGATAGTGTAGGAAAGTTGAAGTTGTTGTATCAGTCATTTTGAAGTGTAGTGCAATGTTAATAGCAACCCTGATTTTGAGCTGTGAACCCTGACGGATCAGACTAGGACTTTGTTCGACACTGAGCTATCAGGGTAGCTTCCCTGTGAAAAATGTGCGATCATAATAGAGGGGGAATTTTTTTCCGGGAATCAGGGAGGCCTAAAACGAAACGTCAGCCCTACGCCCAGCCAGGGCTGACGTTTCACTTTAGGGCTCCCTGATGCCGCTAATTTTTTTTTCCCTCGATTATGAGTGCACATTGTTCAGGAGATTGTCACCCTGATGGCTCAGGGTTCAACAACTAGTCACTCTGATGAGGGTTAAACCAGTTTTACTAGGGTGATTACTGCAATGTACAGCCTGTAACAAATTTCCTCCTACATCTACTCTACTCTAGTGCACAGGCCTATCGATGTGGAACACTTCCTCCACATCCTCATCGTCCGAAAGGAAGGGATTGTCCTCCTCCTCCTCCTCCCCCACAAGCTCTTGATCGTCGCCCAGGCCCAGGGTCTGTTCCACATCCACCTCCTCCTCCTCGTCCTCCTCCCCATCGTTCTGGTGGGCAGCTCCTGCTTTGACTTCACCCTCCTTTGCTTTCCCCCTCCTTTCGCGATCAGCCACAGCAAGCTTCACGCTCTTTGCGGGGCGCCTCCTCCTCATAGACCTCCAGACCTCCAGGGCGTCCGGCCACTCGATGTCGTAATTCAGGAGCGAAATCTGCATCAACTCCCCCAGCCGCGCGTTGCAGAGAGCGCCGCGTACCCAAGACTTGATCACATTTTGCCTCGAGAATCCTCTCTCGCACTCCACAGTTGACAGGGGGAGCACCGCGATCGCCTGCCACAGGAGGACGAGGTTGGGCCACCTCCTTCCAGGCACATTGTCGGAGATGGGTGGGAAACAGAGTGACCACATGCACAAAATACATTAGACTCCCGCATGGCATACCATGCTGTCACACTACGGGGACATACCTCTTCGAGTCCGCACTCCCGAGAATGTTGGTCAGTCCCTGCGTGAAGCTTTCCAGCTCGTGGTGCGCCTCCATGATCGCACAGAATGTGGGAAGCTCCCTCTCTGCAGCCTTGAGGTCGAATCCCGGCAGCTTGTGGCGGAAGAGTTTGCTGCATCCCAGAAGCCACTCACGGCACTTCTTCTCCCGTTGTGCCTTGATCTTCGGCCACTTTCCGGCCCGAAACAGCTTCGTCGGCCCCAGTTTCCCCAGGTCATCAAGCCGCTCGTTGAGATTGTCCACGCAATCGCGGGCGAAACTGCGGCACAGCTTCACGCACTCCTCGTATCCGCTCCCCACCTTGTGCCCCGGGAGCTTCCGCTCGTGCATGGTGTACAGATGGTTCACTGGGCGTCCCTCCCCGTCCACGCCTCTCACACGGACCTTCTTGCCTCCACCATGCCCGTGCAGCTTCAGAAAGCCGACCAACCAGCACTTGCCCTCGCCACCGAACTGCTTGTCGGTATCCAAATACCGCTCAGTCAGATCCGCCATGGTGGCCTCGATGGTCTTCGCAATCTTCGTCACATCAATCTGTAAGGGCACAGTCATACAGGACATGTCATTTTACATCCAATACTCGAGAAATTGGAGACACTAGCAGAGGCGTGTTCGTGGAAGATTAAACAAACTCACATCTCGCTTCTGGAAACAGCGGTTGAGGTCGTTCATGTCGGCGAGGAAGAACAGGCAAAACTGGAACTTGTAGCACGTGACGATCTCGTACACCTTGTGACTCCGCTCCCAGAGAAGAACGATACACGCACCGAGCACCTTGCACAGCCGTCGCACCGCATCTCCACGTGAGAGCCAGCGAACCGTGTGGATCCCCTGGACTTCGAGGTTAGTGTTGTAGATCACACGCTGCAGGTACTTGAACCGTTGGCTCCAGACTGAAGAATCTCCTAATTTTGCCGCCACGGTGCGCACCACCTTGTCCACCATGCCGAGGTCGGGGTTGGACGTCGCCGCGTCCTTAACAGCCAGCGCCTCCCTGCAATCTTACCGGTGCGCGATGCAGTGACAGGAAAAGAGATGCGGGGCGTGCTCCCTGATCCGCGCCACCAATCCGTTGTCCTTCCCCGTCATGACCGAAGCCCCGTCCGTACTGATTCCGACAAGCTTCGACACGTCGACGGCTGCGGAGCGCAGATGATTCATGAGCACCTCGAACAGGGACGCAGCATCACACTTCTCCACAGTCAGGAGGGTGAAGAACTCGGTGACGGCTCGGCGGTCCTTGATGAAGGTCAGGTAAACAATCATGTATTTACCACGCGTTCGGTCAGTGCTCTCGTCGCATTGCAGGCCCAGGAACGGTGAGGAGTTGATGTGGTCCATCTGCGCATTCGTCAAGTACGTACTGAGGTAGTGAACCATCTGCTGGAAGCCGTATCTGCGCAGAGATGTAGGTCCTTCAATTATTCTTTCTGGGGGAAAATATTTCATTACCACGAATTCAATACAGCAAGATTGTAACTAAAATGTCCTACCGTGTGAGATAAACACCGTAAGACTGTCTGGGGATGTCGGGCGTGTCCTGCTCCGCGAGATGCCGCATCAGCCTAGGGTACATACTTATCGGCGCGTCGCACTTGCACAGAAACACAACCGACCGCAACAGACGGACGGCGCGCCTGCCCTCGACGTCCGAGTTGATGAAGTTCGAAATCACTTGCTGCCCCTCGTGGATGCCTCTCGCAATCTTCAGCTGCCGGTCAACAGCCGCTTTGTGCGCGTCCGTGTGCTCGTGTGCGCGAAACGCCTGCGTCTGCATGTCACGGCCTCCGTCATCACTGTGAGAGTACGCCGACGTTCGACATATGTCTCATTTCCATATTTTTACTCCATCTTATTCTCCTTATTTTCCTCTTTCATTTGCACTTTATTTCACCTCAATCTGACTACTATTCTATTTTCTAGAGCTTTCCGATTATTTCACTTATTTGGTATTTTCGGCACGGACATTTACATTATACGGCACCGACAGCACCTACAGTGGTGTACAAGACGTAATCTCGCCATAATCCGAAGTGCCAATGGGCTTGCGTGCTTATGCGTACTTGTGATTATCTATTCTAGAAGAGCGCGTTGTCAAACTTATATATGCTATAGTCTGTTTAGGCTGTAGTGGGGTAGTCCTTAGAGGGTACAATGAGAAGAATGAAGAACGAGGATGGAGTTAGATGCTAGGTTTAACTAGGGCCTAGGCTTAGGAGCCTAGGCCCAAGGAGGATGTCGAGTGAGTTGTGCCAAGGGAAAGGTGTCGAGAAAGTTGGGAAGGTTGATTTCACTATAGGTTTCAAGGAACATATAGCATAGGAAAACAAAGAAGGTGCACCACCAAACTAAGTTTATAATAACTACACTAACTACAGCTACAGGCAGTTACAAATATAAGTTCTGACACTCCCCCATAACTGCCTGCAGCAGGAGTTTGTGCAGAATACAACCTGCAGGTGTACACATGCAAAATAATAAACAAGCAACAGCAGGAACTGCAGGCGGGCTGACACTAGCTGGTCACCCACTCCATCTCCTCACCCTCCTCCTTCCCCTCCCCCACACTGCTGCAGGAGCAGCAGAGAGGGGGGGGAAGAGAGGAGAGGTGGAGGGACGGCTGCTGGTTGCCTCACACCCGCCACCCCGGTGCCACTCCCCCTTCTCCCCCACACCCTCACACCCTCCCCCCCAGCGGCAGCTGCAGCAGTGGGAACGAAAGGAGGAGGAGGGGAAGGGAAGGAAACGACCCAAAGCTCCAACACCCGCCACCCCCATACCCTCCTCCCCACGGCTGCAGGGAAACAAAGGAGGAGGGGGTGGGCGGGAAGAAAGCCGCAGAGCGGCTACATTGTGTCGGCGCAGGTAGGTCAGGGGCGGCTGCAGGGAGAGCAGGTGCGGAGAGGGCCCGTCGCGTGCCACGGGGCGCACGACGGGCAAGTTTAAGTTTAGGGCCCGGTCGTGTGCCTCGGGGCGCACGACGAGCAGGGCACCGTCGCGTGCCACGGGGCGCACGACGGGCAGGTTTAGGGCACCGTCGCGTGCCACGGGGCGCGCGACGGGCAGAGAAGGAGTCACTCGCCAACCGGGGGCGGGACAAGAGAAAATCGCCACGCGCCCTAGGCGCGCGACCGAGAAAAATAGCAGCGGAAGCATATTGGCGGGCCCACAGGCCAGGACGTAAAACGCTCTGATAGCATGAGAAGAATGAAGAACGAGGATGGAGTTAGATGCTAGGTTTAACTAGGGCCTAGGCTTAGGAGCCTAGGCCCAAGGAGGATGTCGAGTGAGTTGTGCCAAGGGAAAGGTGTCGAGAAAGTTGGGAAGGTTGATTTCACTGTAGGTTTCAAGGAACATATAGCATAGGAAAACAAAGAAGGTGCACCACCAAACTAAGTTTATAATAACTACACTAACTACAGCTACAGGCAGTTACAAATATAAGTTCTGACATACAACACTTTTGTGTTTGCTACTTGTACCCACCTTCTTCCTAGTTCATTCATTCCTTGTTATTCTCACATGGTATAGAGCAGGTTCCCTAGTGGAACTGTTTTTAGGGCCCACCACTAAGATTATTCTTTTTTTTTCCTTACCTGCCCGACGCGCGCGTCGCGCCTGCCCTTCGAGGCCCTTCGCGGCCCATAGCGGCCCCTTCACGTCCCGTAGCGGCCCCTTCGCGGCCCGTAGCGGCCCCTTTGCGGCCCGTAGCGGCCCCTTTGCGGCCTGTAACGGCCCCTTCGCGTCCCGTAGCGGCCCCTTCGCTGCCCGTAGCGGCCCCTTCAAGTCCCGTAGCGGCCCCTTCGCGGCCCGTAGCGGCCCCTTCAAGTCCTGTAGCGGCCCCCTTCGAGGCCCGTAGCGGCCCCTTCGCGGCCCGTAGCGGCCCCTTTACGTCCCGTAGCGGCCCCTTCGCGGCCCGTAGCGGCCCCTTTGCGGCCCGTAGCGGCCCCTTCGTGTCCCGTAGCGGCCCCTTCGCGGCCTGTAGCGGCCCCCCTTGCGTCCCTTAGACGCCCGCTGCCGCCCGTACCTGGCCCATCGCTGGCCCACTGCCGCCCGTCGCCGGCCCATTGCCGCCCTTTGCCGGCTGTCGCCCGCCGCTGGACCGCCGCCAGTCGCTGACCAGCAGCCCGTCGCCGACCTGCCGCCCGTCCCTGACCAGCCGCCCGTCGCCGACCCGCCGCCCGTCCCTGACCAGCCGCCCGTCCCTGACCAGCCGCCCGTTGCCGACCTGCCGCCCGTCCCTGACCAGCCGCGCGTCGCCGTCCTGCCGCCCGTCCCTGACCAGCCGCCCGTCGCCGACCTGCCGCCCGTCCCTGATCAGCCGCCAGTCGCTGACCTGCCGCCCGTCGCTGGCCCGCCGCCCGTCGGCCTGGCCCTGCCCTGCTGCCGCCCAAACAGCGGCCCTCCCTGAAACCTCCCCTGGTAAGCACTCGCGCTCCCCCCCCCCCCCCTCCTCCCCCCTCCCTGCTGCGCTGCGCCGCTGGGAGCCGAGTCGCGCCGCCGGTAGCCGAGCCGCGCCGCCCAGCCGAGCCGCGCCGCCCAACCGAGCCGCGCCGCCCAGCCGAGCCGTGCCGCTCAGCCGAGCCGCGCCGCCCCCACCGAGCCGCACTGCCCTGCCGAGCAGCACTGCTGCTACTGCTTCGACTGCTACTACTACTTCTACTGCTGCTACTGCTGCTACTGCTGCTACCACTGCTTTGCACTGCTGCTGCTCCTACTGCTGCTATGGCTAGTCCTACCGTTCTCACCTTTGATGCTGAGGGACGTGCAGTTGGCTTTGACGTGTGGGTTGACGATCTACAGCTGTTTCTTCAGTGTGATTCTAGGGATGGGGTATCTCTTTTCGATCACACGTCCGGTGTTTCCACTGCTCCTGCTGCCACTGCTGACAGTACTGTTCGCTCTCAGTGGACCACTCATGACGCCGTTGCTCGTCTTGCTGTTCGTAGTCACCTGCCGCCTGCTGAGCGCGCACACTTTGGCCAGTACAAGACTGCTCAGTCTTTGTACAATGCTGTAGTTGCACGCTACTCCTCCCCTTCCACTGCTGCCCTCAGCCGCCTCATGCTGCTGTACCTTTTCCCTGACCTTGCCGCCTTTGCCACAGTCGCTGACCTAGTTGCTCACCTTCGCACTAGTGACGCCCGCTACCGTGCTGCCCTTCCCACTGAGTTCTGTGCCAAGAACCCCCCCCCCCATGTACATCACCCTTTACTACCTAGTCACCCGCCTCCCTGACTCACTTTCCTCAGTCAGGGATCACTTCCTCTCCCTTTGCCCCACCGAGCTGACTGTCGACCTGCTAGAGGAGCGCCTTACTGCAGCTGAGAAGAGTATCTTAGCTGTAGGTGCTTCTTGCGGCGACCGTCGCACCCCTTTCTTTGAGGGGTGTTCCCCTGTCCCCCTTCTCCCCTCTGTTGCTTCTGCTGCTGTTGTCGACCTCGTTGGCACTGAGGAGGTTGGAGCTGCGTCTGCCCCTAGTGGGAGACGCCGCAACAGCAGGGGCAAGGGGAGCAGAGGTGGTGGAGGGGGGGGCGGGGGGGGTGGTGGAGGAGGTGGAGGGGGTGGCGGTGGAGGTGGGGGTGGTACCGGGAGTGGGGGCTTCAGTGGCGGCAGTGGAGGTGGTGGAGGCAGCGGCGGGGGTGGTGGAGGCAGTGGCAGCGGTGGTGGAGGTGGCGGCGGCGTTGGTGCTGGTCGAGGTGCAGCCGCGCAGCGTGGAGGCGCTGGTGGTAGCCAGCGTCAGCAGCAGCCGCGCTCTCGTGAGACCCCGTCGGCCCAGCAGCTTCGTGAGTGGTGCGCTGGGCGTGGGAGGTCTGGGGGTGCAGGTCCCTGCACTTACGTTCTTCGCTCCGGCACTCGTAGTGGGGAGGTGTGTGGGCTCCCACACACCACACAGCGCTGCTTCGGTCGCTTGACTGACGCTTGGCGTACCCACTTTCCTGACGCTGTTGATCTCCCTCGATGGCATGATCTGCTTCTGCAGAATGTGCCTATCTTTGATCTAGATTTTGATGCTATCCTTGCTGCCATGTATGCTCTTGCTGATATTACTGAGGGTGAATGTTACCTGAGTGTCCCGCCCGACCCGGGCACTGCGGCTGCTGCTCTAGGTGCTAGTGCGGTTGCTGCTCTAGGTGCTAGTGCGTCTGCTGCTCCAGGTGCTGGTACGTCTACTCTGTCTGGTACTGCACCTACTGAGTCCTTGCACACTTTCACACTTGACTCTGGTGCTTCGCGCTCTTTCTTTAGAGACAGCACCACGCTCACGCCGCTCAGTCGGCCTGTTGCGGTCTCCCTTGCTGACCCCTCCGGGGGCCCAGTCCTTGCACACTCCTCCACGGTTCTACCGTGTCCTGCGGCCTCGTCGGGCTTGCTGTCGGGACTCCACCTCCCCTTATTCTCTACGAACTTGGTGAGTGGAGCTGACCTCCAGGACACGTGGGTTGACCAGTTCACCCCTGGAGGTCAGCGTGTGACCCACTGCACTTCCTCTCGGACGGGCCGCCACCTGGCCACGTTCACCCGTCGGCCAGGGTCGAGTCTGTACACACTGACTACTGCGCCTCCTCCTGTCCCTGCGTCTGGTCAGGTAGCTGCGTCCAGTCAGGTGTTTGCTGCCGCGTCCAGGTCTAGTCCTGCGTCTGCCCCCTGCTCGTGTCGTCCTTTGGCACACGAGACTCTCCTTTTTCACCACCGCCTTGGTCACCCCTCCCTACCTCGTCTTCGAGGTATGGCCTCCCGTGCTCTTGTCTCTGGACTCCCCAGGTCCCTCCCTCC